GATATAACCTGTAAGAACATCAACATAGTTTCTCTGCACTGAAAAAGAAAGTACAGTAAATAGAGGAAGGGTGGCATGGGAGCGAGGGAAAATAAAATTGTATGGTTTTAATAAATTAGGCAAATATGTTCAGTCTGCATATGTCTGTTTTGCATAATGTCTGCTACCTGTGGGATTAGGGGTGAAGGACAATGCAGAACATCAGAGCTTGGGAAATGCTGCTCAGTCCTCCTCCTCTTTGAATCTTCTTTGCTTTCTCCACTCACTTTAAACCTTTGGTTTTATTTCCCAAGCCATAAAGGTTAGAAACTTGCCTTTCTTAATGAAAGGAAACATGCTCAAGAAGCTAAATTCTGCCAAATGCTGTGTAGCCTTGGGGTGCATCTGTGTATCTATAGACTATATGCATCTCTACCTTTAGGAACACCTGCAAGTTTGTGCAGAAGTCTCCTTACACTAAGGTAACATTGCCAAAGACTGCAGAGGGCTTTGCATTGAGGCCAGTGAGCAGCCAGTACCCAGCTCTCGCCAAGCAGCCTTCAGCCGGTCTCTTGCTTGCATGCTCATTAAGGGATCGAGTGGTGACTTGTTCTTGTTTTTCTTGCCTTGTGTTGCTGCACCGTGTCATGTTCCATAGCTGCATCATTTCCTTACTATTTAAGCTGCGCTGTCAGCAACCCCTTCTCCTTCTGTCTCACCTCCAGTGTGCAATAGTGCCCTAATGCAAATGCTATTTCCCTTCCACAGGTGTGTGTTGAAGATGGACCATCACTGCCGTATCCTTCTGCAGGCCCATAGCTGGACTGACTTGGGGGTCTCCTGTAAGGTCACTTGTCCCAGGAGCGCGATGATATATGCAAAGTGATAATATATATCCCCAGGGAAAGTAAAGGATGTCTTGAGATTAACTGGTCCAAGGGGGTAAACTCACAACATTGAAGAGGAAATGGAAAAGTATTTGTGCCGATCTCCTGTGAGGCATGTCTCAGTAAATGTTTTGGGAATCATCAGCTGCATTTCAGAGGGGGCATTCCTGTTTCAGCACCAAAGCGAAAATGGTTCTTAGGCCAGAACTGCTATTCCTCCTATGTGAAGCATCATCCCCTGTTCTTCTTGCCTGCTGGGTTATGGCTTTATTAAAGTGTGTCCTGAGTAAGCAGATCTCCTCACACCCCCAAATTGAAAGGAGCAGCAAAATTGGAAGGAGCCCCAACAGGTGGCATAATATTAGGTGGATCAATTAAATCACCAGTACGGTTTGGGTGCAGATCCAGAATTGGCTATCCCCTGTTACATGGTGAGGAGGGTTGGAGATTTTTGCCTGCCTTTACAGACCTTTAACCCCAAGGGACAGCATGGCTGAACAACTGCGTGGGGCACTTCAACCACCGCTACTTCTTCTCCTTCATGCTGTTCATGACCATGGGCTGCATCTACAGCAGCGTCAGCGGCTGGGACCTGTTCTGGGAGGCCTATGCTGCCATTGAGGTGAGGTTTCTGGCTGAACTGGGGTCTGTCTGGGCACATGGTGGCATGGGAGGGGGTGTGTGCTTTCTCAGTGGAGGGGGAGGGGCTCTTCCTCCTGGCCTGGATAACTGCACGAGGAGTTACGTAGGCCGAGGAGAACTGAGTGTGTGTAACTGGCAGCCTCTTTTCCATCCGATAGAAAATGAAACTGCTTGACAAGGGGAGACTGCACGTGACAGCCAATCAGGTGGGGTACCTGCTGCTCCGCTGCTCAAGTCAGGGACAGGGCAGAGCATGGCAGGGGAGCTTGCTGCTCTGCCCCAGCAATTGACTCTACAGCCATGGCTGTGACTGCTCAGATTCCCTTTCCTGGGCAGAATCACTCCTTCCTTTCTTCCTCCTAAGGGAGCCTGAGCCCATTCAAGCTGCAGTTGGTTGTGCCATCGAGGGGAGGAAGTGTTTGCACAGCTGGCTAAGTGACGCTGTATTCTTGCCTTCCAAAAGATAATGTATGAATGGGGAGTAAGGGAAGTGAGTATTGAACCCCGGTACTCATGCTCTGCCCCATCGCTGATTCATGATCAAGACCCTTGCCTCTCAAGAGGTGTCTGTCTTGTGCTGTGCTGTCCATCCACCCATTTGTCCTTGAAAGACCTCCACATCTCATTGGTTTGGGGTCACAGCATCCTCCGCTGCATCCTCGCATCTCTGGCCACCGCAACATCTGCTTTTTCCTTGCAGACTTACTCTCAGACGCCACCACCCACCTTCTCCTTCCGCCAGCGAGCTTTCCACAAGAGTATAGTGTATGCCTGGGTCCTCTGCAGGTAACTGATCTGGTTGTTTGGTGCTCATGGGGAAGAGGAGGGGCAAGTCTCTCCGGAATGCTTTGAGAAAGCTGCCAAGTCAGCCTCCGGAGCACAGAGCTTTCTAGCTGTCTTATTCTCTGCTCTCTGCAAAAGCGTCATCCAGCTGTCAGTGAGAGATAATAAGCGACTTGCTCCAGCTATTTCAGCTACTTGGTCTTTGCCCACCCGCTGCAACATTCCTCTGTTCATTTCCCTGCAGTTCAGTAGCCTTGGCACTGGGCGCTCTCATGCTCTGGCATTCTGTCCTCATCACTCGTGGTGAGACCAGCATTGAAAGGCACATAAACCGCAAAGAAAGAAAGAGACTCCGATTGAAGGGCAAGGTGAGGAGGGCAAGGCTCAAACTTCAGTGGGGGGCGGGGGGAGAAAATGGAGGCAGAACAGCTGAGCTCACCTAGTTGCTTGATGTGTGTGTCACGCTAAAGTTCCATCACTTCAGGGTGTTTAGTTAGAAAAATAGCTAAAACAGGGCCTTTTCTCCTGCAGCCCCTTCCTGTATACACAAACTTCCTCTTGAGTTGACCCTGTTATTCTCCGGCCTCCAGAAAACACAAAACTATTTTTAATCAGGCATGCATTTGAATATTTTTTTCTTTTAATATTTTATTTGAATTAATTTTAATACATTATATAGAACTCAGCTACATAAACAGGGAGACTTTTTTTAAAAGGGTATGATTCCGTTGCACTTATTTTTGACCATTTGAATAATTCTGAAGTTTGTCCAGTCAGATTTTCCCAAGAGGGGTTGCTATGCAGAATGGAAGAATGAATAAATATGCTAGAACCACCTAGCAGAATATAATTTCATGCTACTTTTCCATTGGCTCTAGGTCTTCCAAAACCCATACAACTATGGTCCTTTGGGAAATTGGAAGGTTTTCCTGGGTGTGGAGACACAGAGGTGAGAACGGGAAATGTGCAACTGGTATACTCTACATCTGCCCTGTCTTTTGGACAATAGGGTGGCTGGGATTGGCTGGATTGGCTTGACAAAGCAAGGCACAGCTGAAGCTGCTTATTTTGCATTCCACAGCAATGCTGTAGCCCTCTAGGTCCTCTGTAATCTGGAAAATGCTTGGGCGGAATATACTAGCAAGCCTGTAAATGTCTTCCTGTGTTCCATTTATTCATTGAAAGATGTTCTCTTTTCTAGGCATTGGGTCACCCGAGTTCTACTACCCTCCACACACACACCCTATGGATCTGGCCTGAGTTGGGAAACTCCACCCTGCATTGTGGAACAGAAGACTCCTCTCTTGACAATTTGATTTGATAAAGGGCAGAGTTGACCAGCTGCTGGAGGACGGGAAACCACAGGCTGCTTTCAAGGGGCAGCATAATGGACAGCACAGATCCCCGAGGTGCTGGTGACGTCACATGCCACAATTGCACCAGCTGCAGCAAACTGCTCCAGCAGTCTTAGGATGAAGGTGGAAGAGCCCCCCCAGCTGCAGGCAGCTGCGGTGAGACAGCAATGTCTTGCCCACATAATCCAGCCTATGTAGGGTGAAGTATTGGTATTCCTGGTAGTGGAGGAAGGCGCAATATGCCCCCTTCCCCACCTCAGGACCCTGGCTGGTATGCCAGGGTCTTGTTACTCTTCCACTATGTAGGCAGGGATTTTTTAAACGAAAATAAAAATCATTTTAATATGGTGTGGCATCTGTTCCTCTTTAGCAGAAGAGAAGGCACAATGGTGGAAATATCTTAAGAAACTGATTGATCTCCCTGTAGCTCACAACTGTCTTTTCAGAACAGATTCCAGGCGGTGTAGAAGACAATGCTGCATTTACAGATAGCTGTAGGTCTTAAGAGATTTTGTTGGTCCTAGCCATTAGGTGTAAGGCCATAGGTTAAAGTCTAAAAATATCTTTCAAAAGCCACAGATTGTCCCTACTCTTGTATATGTACCATTGCCAGTTTTCCACTCTGTTGACCTCTCACCAAACTGCAGATTTCTGTAGCCCTTTCAAAGCAGCAACATGAGAAGCTGACACTACCTCTCAGTGTTCTGCCCTTCCATGTTTGTACAAATAATTTATGAGTAGTCCAGAGCTAGTGGTACATAGTAAGATTAAGGGGGGTGGGGTGCTATTCAGGACTGGTTTTGACTACCTGAAACTCAGCTATGGAGCATGTATGAAAAGCAGCCCTGAGAAGTGTATGGTGAGGGGTTCCATTATAATAGCCATGGGACATATGCCATTAAGCACTGCTTTCTTTGCAACCATCTACTTAATAAGAGTATTAGGCCTTCAACACAGCCCCAGGCCACACCATTAATTCAAGTTAAGGTGTGGTCAATGGCTAGACCAGTGTTTCTCAAACCTGGATCCCAACTGTTGGTGGACTACAATTCCCATCACCCCTGACCACTGATCCTGCTAGCTAGGGATGATGGGAGTTGTAGTCCAACAACAGCTGGGGATCCAAGTTTGAGAAACGCTATTCAAGAGTAGGCACCTTGCCAGCAGAAGTCTTACACCTAGGAAGGGTAAAGCATGGACTCCAGCACGTACAATGCTCTATGTCATGGCCAGTCATGTACTTTCATCAATTTTCAAATGCAGTTCTGCTATGTTCATTAATGAGGGTTGTCACTGGAAAGACACAGCAGAGGAACTAGGGAGCCATGTATAAATTTCAGATGGGCAGCAGTGGCACTCTTAAAAAACTTTATTTGTAGAACACTTTCCAAACAAGCAAACTACAACCTCATTGCAGAATGCCACACAGGGGCTCAGGTGGATTTCTGAACTCATTTTACTGCCAAAGGCAGCTGCAGCTTCACCAATTTAATACCAGTGGCTAATAATTAAGAAAGTAAACAACCACCAGCCTGCACTTACAGAAAAAGGCATACCAGATCAGTCAGTATCTTCCTATGCTAGTTTGCTAGATTTCTCCAGCAGGTATCACATCAGACAGAACATTCCTAGACACCTAGGCTCAGCTCTTGCAACTTGTATTCAGAAATATTCTGTATTAAAGTAATTCACTGTTTGATCTTTGCATGAGAGGTGCTAAGTTCATGCAGTAGGCTTTAGTTCTATTAGCACATGAAAAATCTCTCTGTACGCAGACACCATTATGGCAGGAAGGTGGGGAAGCTGGACTTAATAGAAGGTGAAGGCAAGACCCTTATTTCTACTACTTCCCCACAAGAAGCACTTTTGCCAGAGGCTGTTAGCAAACAAGTTTTTATTCTTCTGGCCCCATACATACATAATATATGGGGGTCCTGCCACCTCCACTCACTACTGTGCTGCAGCAGGAACAGGGGCTGGCTGTTCCTTCCTACTGAACGCTGATGTTGTGGTTAGGAAAGGGCAGTCCACAAAAAAGTCCTCTTCTGCCCAGAGCCTTGCTGCTTTGCATGGAAATCTAGGCCCCAGGACATCAAGGCCAACAGCTTACCAGGTGAGTGGGGGCAGGTGAGATTGTCAGTCAGGATTTGCAGTGTGAACCTTCACCTGGCAGGTGTCCCAAGCAGAAACCTGAAGAAAAAGACCACCACGGCGGGCTTTAGCAGCAGCAAGGCATGAACAAAAGGAACCCTTTTAAAAATTTATTTATAAAGAATTACCATTTTCATTTTTTTACAAATTTAAAGACAACTTTACATCCAAATATCCTTGACTTCCCTTCCCCCTCCTCCCCTCCCTGGTTCATTTTATTAACTCTTTTATGTTACATATTCTATCCCCCCCCCATTCTCATTTTCCCAGTTTTATATCAAAATATTTCTTACTGCTGAATTTATTCTATTACTGTTAACATTTTAATGTGTTTACAATAATTCAGATATTCTACATTTCTTTTCAAGTCTTCCTTATACTTTTTTTTCCATCCTGATTGCTTAGTCAGAACCCAAGTTATTAATCCAAACCTCTACGCTCAATCAAAATGGCTTCATCACATCTGTACAAGGATATGTTAACCTACCTCCAATTTAATTACAGTGAGTCTCAAGGACAGCCAAGTCGAGCAACTACAGTGTATTTAAGTTGGTACTGTTTTTTCTACGCCATCCCCCAAGAGAAAGAGTCCTGCTCACCATTCTCCTCGTGCTGCCACAGCTTCCTTCCGCACCAGCCGCTTCTTGTCATCCAGGGGTTTGGCCAGGGCTCGAATCACTCGTGGCTTGTAAGGTATCACCTGGTAGCAAGCAGAAGCCACCATCAATGAGGTTCCCACAGTTCCCATGGAGGTCTTAATACCTGTTTGTGCTAGCAACAGGAGACAAGTAGATCTTGGCACAAGTAAGGCAAATGTTGGAGCATCTGGCAAGCTATCGGGCAGATCCATTACTTACCACTGGAGTGGGGAGGGAGGCAAGTGCATGGAGGCACTGTAGCGCAGCAATGCGGATTGCCTGCAATATAAATGGTGCATTTAGTCTTCTGCTGACCATCCAGGAGGAAACCGGGAGTATCCAGCTGCATAGAGGGGCTACCCAGTACTCACCATAGCAGGGTTGTCTGTCAGGCTGATAAATTTGCCCACGAGTGTGTCGACGTGCAGGCTCATGATGTGTGGCGCCTCGAGCAACAGCGGCTGTAGGCAGTGCAAAGTTGAGAGCTGCACCACAAGGTCAGGACACGACAGAGCTTCCAGCAGGAGAGGTAGCAACTGGGGGATAAGAGGGTAGAGTCATGGAATCGACAGACTTGTAGAGTTGAAAGAGACCCTAAGGATCATTTAGTCCAACTCCCTGCAATGCAGCTGTCCCACACAAGGATGGAGCCTGCAACCTTGGCATCTTCAGCACCATGCTCTAACCAACTGAGCTATCCTAGCTGAAAAGGGGGGGGGGCATCATTCTTCTCCATAATATGCCCCACCCACAAATAATTCCCAAGAGTTCTTAGGGCCTGGTGCTCAGCACTGCTGCACACTCACCGTTGGCAGCTCTGTCACTAGCACTGGTTTGGGCAGGTGGTTCAGTATGTGAGACAGGCCTTTCAGGTAATTCGCCTTCACATCTAGGAAGAACAGAAGGGCAAGGCTTAATCCTGTGGCTCTGAGGAGACTCATCCGAAAAGGTTATGACAGTTTAGAAATTGAATAGCAAATGACCTCTACAGAGCCTACAGTGAAGGTCCACCTCTTGCGAGTAAAGAAAAGCAATTTGTTTGTCCCATGTAACAGGCAGAGTAGGCGAGCTCAGAGTTCTGCGCTCTCCTACCCAAAATCATCTCCAGAAACTCCGAGGGGTCCGGGAAGAGGAAGAAAAAGGCGAGAGGCTCAGACTGCTCCTCTTGTTGTCGAGGGTTCAGAAGCTCCTACTGTCCACAGAGGGCTACAAAAGGCAGGTCATGCAAGGAGTCCACAATTTCTGCAGACAAAAATATGCTAAAATGCTGCAGTAGCGTCCTCATTTCAATCTGACCATTATTCCAACTGTGCTCCTCCTGTTAATTCAGATGCTTTCGGTAAGAAATGGGACAGAGGAAATTCTTACCAGGAGCTGCTGTGTGGAAACCCTGCACCAACTGCGGCACGCACTCTGTGAAGAAGCGCTGGCGGAACATGAGGCGCACCTCAGCGTGGCAGCTCTTGCCCAGCACATCTGGGGAGTCAGCCATGAGCAAGGCAAGGCCATCGCCCACCGCAGGGCCAAGGACCGTGTCCCCCAAAAGCACGAGGAGCTGTAGGGTAAAAGACAGGAGCCATCGAATGTGTTAAGGGCACAGTGGCCTCCCTGAGGGTCCCAGGCCTTTCCCAGAAGCTCACCTTGTCCGTCAGGTGTGTGCTTAGCGGGTGGTAGCGTAGCAACAAAGCCTTGCTCACCTGCAGGGCAAAAAGAAAGGAAAATTGAGCTCTGTTTCTGGCAGAGACGGGAGGGATGGGGCATGGGGGAAACTCACCCACAGCAGCAGAGTGAGGGCTTGGCTTTGATGAGGACCCTCATTCAGGCCATGCTCCAACTTGTTCATGGCCAGCTCCAACAGCTCATCTAATTGAGGCCCTGGAAAGGGTAAAGAGACTGGCTGTTGTTCCAGGCAACTTCTTGCATCAGTCAAGCAGGGCAACACTTAACACAGCCCAGCTCTGAGGTTTCATGAGCCTCTGAACAACATCCCCAGCCCTTCAGTCCTAGGACAGACACAGGCTAGTACTCCATCGGTTACCTGCTGGGTGCTTGTTAACCAGTCCTGCAAAGCATTTGGCAGCAGCTGTGGCAGTGAAAGGGCAGTCACAGGAGCAGCTCAGGGCTAGCAGTTCACGTAGCAAGCGGTCTTGCTGAGGAATTGGAACCTGAAAGGAAGCCAGAGCGTGGGGAGGCATGGAGGCAACAGCAGAGCTTCAAGCTGCTGGTTCCCAGCATCACTTGCCTAGGGATCAGGCACACAAGGCAGGATGGATAGATCCATTCTCTCAGCCATGAGGCAGCCTCCCCCGGCCCCGCCAAATCTTCCCCAGGACTCACATTCCTTGGCAGTGAGCAGACAAAGGCCATGAGGAGAGCAACAAGCCTTCTCTGGGCTGCCATCAGACACTGCCCATCCTATAAAGGAAAAGAAATATTGTTTCCACTACCAAAGTCTCTGGCCACATTTCCCTATACGCAGCAGCAGCAGCAGCAGCAGCAGCAGCAGCGCCTCACTCATACAAGATACCTGGAAGGGCTGGAACGTGCTGGGAAAGGTGTTTCCAGGTTGGAAGGAAAGCTCTCCATCCAAGAAGAGGGGAACCACTTTGGAGACACTCTGGGCAGCCTGCCTGCCAGGAAGAAGAAACAAGAACACTGGTTTACAGCACATAATAATATAACAATTCATTATTTATATGCTGCCCATCTGACTCCGTTGCCCCAGCCACTCTGGGCAGCTTCCAACAAATTAAAACATCAGACATGAAAAACTTCCCTATACAGGGCCTCCTTCAGATGTTTTCTAAAAGTCAAGATAGTTGTTTCATTTCCTTGACATCTGACAGTAGTCTAAAAACACCAAGGAGGGGAAGGGGAGACTGCCTGCACTTCTGTTCGCGGAGTCATGCTAGAACCTGACCTTATCCAAAAGCACAAAGATTGTGCCTCACTACTTGTCACTCTGCAGGGACAGAGATCACAGGATGGCAGCAGCTGCTACTCACTCTGGTCTTAAGTGCGTACATGCACTGCTGATGACCGATACCATGGCTGATAAGGCTTCTTCCTTCAGCAGCACACTGCTTGGCAATGTATGGGAATTCTCTGAAAATAGTCATGAAAAGGGGGGGGGGATAAATGTGAGGGTATGGAGACAGTTCCTGGAATCCCATCAGCTGCCTTTGAGTTTGCCACCTGCATAATGGACACCTGACAGGGACACTGAGATTGGCCCCAAGTGGGTAAAGGCCAGCCCAGCACAAGGGAAAGGTACCTCTCTTTCTCTCAAGGTTCGAAAGTATATAGAATCCCACCTGAGCTATGGGTACTGGCCTGGTTCGGGGAGCACAGGGTCTGTGCTCATCTACCCACCTTACCTTGCATTGCAGCCTTGACTGCTAAGCCCACCAAGCAGGGCACCACAGCCTGGTGGAAGTACCAGTAACTCTGAGCATCTTCCTGGCACTGGAATGCTACCTGCTGCAGACTCTGGCACACAGACACCACAGAGTGGGTATCTGCAGGTATACTCTCTGCAAAATCAAAAATCAAAAGAGCATTCAGGGTGGAGGTTACCGGTTCCAAGGTGTTTTTCTTTTTTAAAAAATTACTAATGCATTATCACCAGGGCCATTTAAAGGCATCACATTGTGTCAGAAATGGGTTATGGGCCAAAACAGTCAAAGACTGATGGTCCTAGGCTTCCAACAACAAGCTATACTTCTCCCGCTAATGACAGAATTATGGGACTGTAGGCACCTAAAGGTTACCAAGGCTCAGTGTACTAACAGCTCTCTACTAACCCCTTCCATAGGAACAAGGAAGCTCGGCCTTACAAGGAGTCAGGCTCCTGGGTCCACTTAACTCAGAGCTGCCTGCACTGACTGGCAGTGGCTCTTCAGACAGGAAGTCATGGAAACATAAACTGTAGGGTTGGAAGGGACCCTGGGGATCATCTAGTTCAACCCCCTGCAATGCAGGAATATGCAGCTGTCCCATACAGGGATTGAACCTGAAACCTTGCCATTATCAGCACCACACTTTAACCAACTGAGCTATCCAGTCTTTTCTGGAGATGGCAGGGATTGAACCTGAGGCCTTCTCCATGTTTAGCAGACGCTCTACTACTGAGCTCTAGCCCTTCCCAATCTTACACCTCCTATTAATGATACACATATGCTGAGCCCTTCTGTTATTGCTGTCCCAAGCACTGGGCTAGGTTCCTCGCTTCCGAAGTATCAATAGTTTATCACATGCAATTCTTACACTACCTTGCTGAATCTGCTGGAAGTGCTGCAGGAGGACTGGAACTGTTTCCCTCACTATACTAGGGTGCGTGGACACAGCTGCTAGAGCCTGCAGGCGACGTTCCTGCTGGGATGGATTGCTGTCCTTCTGAAGCTCTGAAACAGCACACAGAACACAATAGCTAGTCAATGAATTTGTCCCTAGGGACAGGGCCATGGAGGTACCACCTTCCACCCCTCCACATGAACATGGATTTGGGAATGGCTGATTCTTGGACCTGGAACTAACCTATCCGTCTGCCCGTTTGGCCTTACTCACGTTCCTCAAGGCACAGAGACTGCGCAGATTCAAGTCAAAGCCCCCTGCAATGGCTCTGCCTACAATGCTGCTAGCACTCAGGGATAGACGCTGTGAACTTCTGCACAAATGCTTAGTAAAGGCAGCATAAGAGAGGACACCCACTTCCCCACAACCCGCCCAACTTGCATGCTGTACCTGATTGCAGCCCTTCTGAGAACTTCTGAACCAAGCACTTGCTGAAGGCTTGTGGATAGAGGGGAGCCAGGCGTCCAGCCGCCTCCATAGCTACCATGCTGTAGGGATAAAGGAGTGTGCAAGGATGGATGAACTTGTTGGCCACTCAATACCGTAAAGCAACTCACTGATCTTTCCGTGGTAATCTAATTTTATAATTGTAATATTGAGTTGTGTGTGCACTACATTTTATAAAAATGTTCCCTTGATTACAAGAGCACTTTGGACAAGAACGCAGCTTAGACAGCGATGCAGACTGCCCAGGTCTTGTTAAGCTCACTCTACCCGGGTTCATCTAAGAACTTATCAGAAGAGAGTGGGATTCTCACATCACTATAGAAACTATGAAAAGGTATCACCGGATTTGTTTGGGAACTGTCCTGTGACTCGCAGGTTTGGATGCACTGCGCACTGAATAGGAAATGCAGGAAGGCCAGAGGAAAAGATACAGCACTTGAAATCTTAAAACAAACAACAGGATGTTACCAAGCTAGATGTTGTTGTTTTTTTAAAAAAAAGGATTTAAAGAATATTACACTATGAGGGACATTTTTATGGAAGAATGTTTAACTACACTATTGGGTTCAGACTGAAATGAATCTGTGCTAAGAGAATGAGGATATAAGCTCTATTCACACATTAGAACAAAGCACGATAAACCAAAGGATGTTTTAGTACAAAACTTAAGATTGAAAAAAGATCATAAAAGCAGTATTAGTAAAGCCCTTTTCTTAATTAAAACACATGCAAACCTTAACAGATCAGTGTAAGACAACACCAAACAGAAGCAGAATTTTGGATTAAGAAATGAGTAATTCATGAGACTGTGTTAGAAACCTTGTCATTTGCCATTTATAGGTAGTGGACTAAAAGAATGTAAACATTTTCAATATTTAGAAAAAGATAAGCCCAAAGACAATTCTGAGAAGTTCAACAATGCCTGCTGTTTCCCTTGCACCCCCAGGGTCCAGCTTTGTTTCCACCCCTCACCTGGTCTGGGAATCGTCCTCATGCAAGATTAACTTTGTAAGGTGATCCACAAACATCTCCACATCTGAGAGGGTCAGGAGCCCTGAAACGGAAGAGAGACTGAAGTTCAAAGCCTTTCCTTTCCCTGGTAGTAACACTCTGCTATCATTGCCAGTTTTACTATATTGCATTCCACTTCCTAGAGGCTGCCTGCAGCCCATTTAGTCCAAGTTATGCAAGGTGGGGTGGGACAGTACCTAATCTGATTCAAGTCCAGCTGTCTGGCTGCACACACATGATGGAAACAGGCCTGTGTGCACGCTAGATGGATCTGTAAAGGAATGCACACCAAGGGGAAAATCTCTAAACAAGCCGTAATTCTTCCATGACTCCTGGGAGTAGCCCACAGATCAACACATACCTTGCAGTGATCCTAGAAAGGTCAGAACCCGGATGCCAACCAACTGAAGTTGCACACTGGACTCAGAAAGTGCAGAGAACACCACGGAACACAGGGCATCTTTGAAACAAAGCAGTGGACTCTTGTCTGCAAGGGAGAGAAACAGGCACACAGGCAGTGTCATGAGACTGACCATCCTGGGCACCAATCACTAGAAATTACAAGGTCCTTGGTAGGGGCACTTTAACTTTCTAACCCGGAGTCTGAGAGGATTGTGATCAGGATTTAGATAGTGAGGAATGAGAAACTTCCTAAAATTCTGAGTGGTCAGCACTGGTACCTGGATAAGAAAAAAACACAGATGGATTGCTCATTAAGAGCAGTCATCCACCAAGGTTACTCAACCGCAGTCACCATGTCATCCTGCAAAAAGCATTTCTACTTGGTCACTGAAAGCCATGCTCAAAGAAACTTTGGTTCTGGAATATTTGGCTGAGGTCCCAACTGCATTGCATTTAAAGCACTCTCATGCCACTTTAAACAGTCATGGCTTCCCCCAAAGAATCCTGGTAGTTTGTTAAGGGTGCTGAGAATTGTTAGAACAGGGATTGCTTGTTAAACCACTCTGGGAATTGTAGCTCTGTGAGGGGAATACTGATCTCCAAGGTGATATGATACTGCTTTAAATGTGTGTTGTAGTTGGAACCCAACTCTTGTGCATGCATTTTCTAAGACTTCTCTCACCAACCACAAGGGCTAGAATTTCTTCTGGGAAGCTATCCTGTCAAACTCTTTGTTTTTCAATTCTGTTGTCTCCGCATTTCTCTTCTCCCTATTACTGCACCTATCTCACTGCCCGCCCCCCTTCCCAGACATGCCATTGCTAAATCCCATAGATTAAGGTGACTCTTCTCTGCAAACAACTGCTCTGGGCAAGACAGGAACATTGGAAGCCCAGGATGCTGCAGAAGGGCAGCCTTGCTAGTAGGAAACAAGAAGAATGGAGAACCATCTCACCGTCTTCCTCAGGCCCCCACTGCTGCCGCAGCTCCAAGAAACCAAGCAGCACTTCCAAGATTGTCCTGTGCTGGCTACTCTACAAGAGATCAAAAAGGGCAGAGGATGGGTTGAAGGGACTAAGACACAGAAGGAGAGACAAGATCTGCAGGCCATTGTCCTACATGGAATTTGAGCCCAAGCATATGCCTGGGGCAGGTATATGCCACTAAACGTCCCTTAATATGAGATTGCAGTCACCTAAGCCCCTTTCACTACTCTCCATCACAAGCATATTCTGCTCCCATTTGTCCTCACCTGCTCATGCTTGGTGTACTGTTCCACCAGCAAGGGAAGTACACTGTATATGATCCGGTAATAAGCTCGCAAAGAGGCCCCTGCAGCCGCCTGCAAGAGTTTGGCACTTGGCCACACCAGCTTCATGTCAGGCTCACACAGATGGTGTCTGCAATCTGAAACAGGTAAGAGCGCTTGGGAGAAACAGTATCACTCCCAATGCCACTGCAGAAATCCCAGCAAGAAATAGCACTACTTAATTCCACCAGCTTGCAAACTGCAAACAGTTTCAAAGCTTAGTGGAGAACTTGCTGCCTTCCCACTAGTCAGCTCCAGTTTCCACCCCTTCCCTCCAGTCCTGTAAGCCAAATCATGGCTGCAACAGCATGGCGAGATATTTTTCTCTTGGGGGAAGCGGTCATTTCCTCCAAGCAGCAGTTTATGAATGAGAAATGGAAGGTCTTTCACAGGACTGAAAAGATGCTAGGAAAGGGATGCTGCTCCAAAGGTTACCTTGCAGAATGCCTGTAAGGAAGGAATCTAAAAGATCCTCATCATCGGAACTGAGCACCAAGCGGGACAGACATGTTGACAGAGCACGCAAAGCAGACAGACCTTCTGCTTCAATCTTCTCGCTTGCTGTCTGGAACACCTGTTGAGGAGCAGGAGGGGAATCAGCTGTACAGTGCAGACAATCCTGCAAATAATCCAGTCAGTGATCCCGCAATCCAGCAAGTAATCCAGTGATCATAATGAAAGGGGGGAATTTGCTTCTTTATAGGTCCATCAAATATTACAACAGCCTGATAATTCACTGTAATGAAACTACTGTATTGGCCCGAATGTAAGTCGCACACGAATATAAGCCGCACCTTTAAAATTCAATGGGGGGAAAGGGGGGGGGGATACCCGAATATAAGCCGCTCCCTTAAAATTCTGCATGCACTCACACCCATTCTGTTTTACCGTATTTCTGTTTCAGCAGCAAATAATAAAAGCCAATTTTTGTAAGGTCACGAATGTAAATTTAAACCACACTCTAACTTTTCACGGTCGGAATTTGGGGAAAAAAGTGAGGCTTATATTCAGGCCAATGCAGTATATAATGTTTCAAGCAGTCCCCAGACACAGAGAGCAGGAACAATGTAATGGATGCACTTTCACAGGACACCAGAACCGCCTCGCTTTGGGAATCCTCACTCCTCTCACCTCCCTGCGCAGGGATGACCAAAGGCTGGGTAGGAACTCCTTCAGCTCCTTTTCCCCATAGATCATGCAGGCAGCATTCTGCAAAAGAAAGGAAGGTGTGTGTGTGTGGGGGGGGAGAGAGAGTAAGACATGAGTCATCTGGGGTGTGCTGTTAATTTGCAGTCAAGATGCTGCATTACCTAGGAGCAGCACCAGAGCCACCCCTTAAATCAGCTTGAAGGGCACATAAATCCCAGTGCAGGGGAAAGAGAAAAGTGCATGCTTGCTTTGAGGAAAGCTGCAGGAGCAGATAGGGCTGCATGGCAACCTACTGCGGAGCCTTGATACCTTTGCTCAGTGCTCTTACCAAGGTTTGCAGGGAGTCCAGCTTGGCACTTTGTACGTCAGAGTCCATTTTCTCAATGAGCAACGGGATCAGGAACTGTAAGGAGAGAAGATCCTGGAAATCTCAATATACTTTGCTCAGCATAATTTGGGGTTATAATATACCTCAGAAGATCAGACCAGCAGGCCTCACAAAACAATGTAAAACCCATATAAAGAGCACAATGCAATACTCCCCACTGACGCCACCTTGGTGGTGACTGGGTATTTGTGTTAGAATACTGTACAGTCTGCTATCATCTTAGCCAAGAGGGGAGTGTCCATCATTGTAGAGGGCCTAGATTCACTCATGCAGGCAGGAAGCTACCACTGGTGGTTTTGCTGGCAGTACCCACTGGAAAGCTCTGAGAGGATCATCAGGCTCTCAGCTGCACCTGCCTGGAGCTAGTGTAGCAAAAAATGAGGAAAAAACACTCCCCACCTTTTGCCTGGCAGGGCTTTGGATATGATGCTCAGGTGCTTCAGCTCTGCCCACTGCTGCCTGGCCAGGGTTAAGATTGCTCCAGCAGTTTCATAAATTTCTGACTTTATTCTAATTCTATGAGGGGCAAAATAAACCTACCACGGCAGCAATTTGTGTAGCATATGGGCCGTTTCAGAGAGCCATTAATCCCAGCTTTTTTAAATAAAAAAAGCAAATATTTATTTATATCTATAAATCAAGCTCTCTGTCCAAAGTCTGATGGTAGTAGCAGTTTGAAAGATCAGTGTTGGGAAATGCAAAAGGACCGGAGAGTAAATTTACTCCCCAACTCATATATCTGCAATAGACTGAAGTCTCAAAGTTAAGGGCAAAATTATCTCTACAATATGCTTGTTCTGGGAATAAATGCATTGGCTTATCCTAATGAAGGTTCTGACAATGTGATGCTCCCATCAAGAGAAGAAGGAATTTTCACCTTGCAACCGCTTTGCCCTTCAAAAATCTTGTCCAGAGCAGCATGAGAGGTGGTGCAAGAGGGAGGGAAGATCTGCAATCAATGTTCCCTTCCCCAACACCTATATATTAATAGATGGCTTTTTAGGATCCAAATTGTTGTGCACCACTACAGCAACATCTTCTGTTGATGAGGATAAACTATTACAAATGGCTGCATTGTGGGCCCCAGTAAGGGAAGTTTTTAATGTTTGATGTTTTATTGTGCTTTTAATTCTGTTGGGAGCTGCTCAGAGTGGCTGAGGAAACTCAGCCAGATGGGCAGTGTATGAATAATAATAATAATAATAATAATAATAATAATAATAAGAAGAAGAAGAAGAAGAAGAAGAAGAAGAAGTCCACCCCAACTCTGTCAATGTATTATTGCTCAACATGGTGTATCAGGATGGGAACCAACTCTGCTACAGGGTCTCAGGAAGAACCCACAGGGCACAGAAAACAGACTTCAGCCATGATACACAATGGCCCTACCTCAGCAAAAATGGGAGTGGAGGTCAGCACTGCCCGCAGGCTGATGATCAAGTCTTCTCTCTGGATTCCATGAGGATCATTGGAGGGCTGGAACAGAAGCAAAATCGAAAGATTTAGACATGAATGTACTGAATAAACCCATCTCCATAGGGACACCCCCAGTTCCAGGCATTACACAAACTATCCTGCTCCAACACCCATATCCAAGCACTGTGAAGGAGGGACAAAGCACCAGATTTACTCACTCACAGGGGTAAAGTCGATGGGGAAGTAGCAGGAAGTCACCTCAAACAACTCCTCTGCGAAGGGCCCTGAGAGGTGAAGACAGCAGTATGAGTTCTTTGAGTGACCAAAACAGTCAGTCACAAGTCTGGACATGGACTATTTATTTGCATCCTATTTAGTGCTACCATTCTCACAGGCCACAAATTGAGAGAAAGAGAAAGAGAAAGAGAGTGTGTGTGTTCCATGGCCTCAACAGCAGATATAACCTGTGGTTCTATGTTCAATGATTCCAAAGCTATGCACGCTTTAACAAGCTCCCCATACAGCCTGCATCCTCACACACTGCAGGCATGATAAGAAGTTTAACCAACCAACCACTGCCAACATGGGCTTCCCCACACTGCCAAGGACTTGGACATACCCAATGCATAGCCCTTCACAATGATGTCTCGTACAATCTGGAAGGCTATTAACAAGTTGCGTGGGTCCTTCTCTCCATCCATCACCTGGATGAACCCGAAGGTGAAATCGGCACCCAGACCTTTCAGTTCTGCAGGAAAAAGCATCAGGTAAGGAAATTCCCAGGGTTTTCCAGCAGGGTGTCCGACTCAGCCCCTTCCACAGCCATCCATCTCACCTGCCTCTCGGCTGCTCATGAAGTTAGTAATGATACTGTAGATTGTATGGCGATCCGCTTGCAGCAAAGACTGGAAGATAAGAAAAGCATAGCTGGGAAATAAAGCAGTATTACGTGAACCTGTTCCAAGCCTTAGAGATTTATGGTTTTGTTATGATCCCTCTCCAGTTCATGTTATCATACTCTGGTCCATAGATCTGGGTGCCTAATTTGCCAGAAAGACAATTAAGATACTGCAGGCAAGTCAGAAATTTACACACACCCAGCTGAAGGCCAGGACCTTCCATAACAACCTCTCTATCTTTATTTTTAGTCTTGCTGAGAGTATCTCCAATGCCCTTAATGTCCCATGTAAAAATCAAGATATACACATTCACATCGGAACTAGAGGTATTTCACAGCAGAATTTGCATACATTACCACACACAAAGGATACATGTGTCTACTCCTTTTATATTTAATTACTCAAGGCTCAGAGAAGTTGCCACAATCTCATCTTGTCCACCCACCCAACTACTCTTTCAAATAAGGTTATTAATAAAGGCAGTGGGGAGTTGGTAAAGAATGGCAGCTAATATTGCCAAAGGCAACTTAACAAGTCATGATAAATTTGAACCTATATCCAACTCCGGTGCACTATTCCCCCAGGCCGTGTTTCATAGTTTTATTTATTTATTAAAGAACTATTTCTAGCCTGCCTTTCTGGGCAATGACCATCCAAGATGACTTACAACAACGGCCCATTACAAAATATCAGTAATACAGCCATAAAACCACCAAGTCTCAGATTTTCTAATATCGTTTAGACAGTGTCAAAGAGCAGGGGATATGATTCTCAGAACTTCTGCCATGACCCAGTGCTTCAATTCTCTTGACAGCAAGAAAATATCGATGAGCAGGTCTTAGCCAAGAGAACTACTGTGTATTGTCCACCAAGAGGGACCACAGGAGGTACAGGATACTTCAGGAACTAGTTTAATAATAATAATGAGAACAGAAAGGCTGAAGCATGGATGTGGAACGCAAAGGCAAAATTAGAGAGTCTATCAGGGCTTCTCTGACTTACCTGGACATGAACCTCCTGGAAAATGGCCTTGAGAACAGACACTGCCAGACCTGGAGCCAACGCCACACACATACTCTAGAGACAAGGAAAGTAATGGTAACAAATCAGTACCCATCTACATGTAACGATGGCTACCGGTTAGCATGCTTAAGGCCTCAGACTGCCTGTATGGCATATTATCAGTCAGTGCAATGGAAACAAACAAAAGAAGCCCATCATTTAATCAGTGTGACAGTGACCCAATCATTAAGAGAGAAAGGGGGGAAATTCACTGTTAACTAATCCCCATAAATCCCAAGTAGATTCAGAAAATATTATTTCTACACCAGCACCTACTACCTTAATCAGCCTGTCTTGTAGCAGCTTTCACTGGTCTCAGTTAAATGAGCCAGAGCTGTCAATCTGCTATCCTTGGGGCACCCCAATTTTCTACCACTGAGCAGATGAATAGAGAGTGTCCCCAGTTTTGTCATAGATTGCTATCGCTAGATTATTTCTGCAAGGCTTCTTATGAAAATTATTTGCTTTTTTGTAATAATCTTATCAGGTGATCCATTCTGTATTTCTGTTTCTTTAATATATTTTGCTCCAATTTTATTGTGTTATGATTTGGTTTTAACCAAGATCTAGGGCACCATATACATATACTTTTATATTAAGTTCACAGAAATGAATAAACGAGAATGACTACCATGAAAACAATTCTCACCAGAGCTTTGAGTCCCTGCAGCACAGAAGAAATGACCAGGTGATGATCTTTCAGGCGGTTCTCATAGAACAAGACCAGGTGGGACACTGGAACAGACAAACATTATCAGAAACTAGGGCTATGGTGGTAGTTGGGCTTAGCTAACACAAATAGAGATATCCATGGGGCAAATTGGCATCTACATCAGCCTCAGCAGATTTGAAAGGATGAAGGAAAATGCAGAATTATCACAGGTCACTTGGCAATGCAGGCATTCGCCCCCTACTTTTGGCTCCTCCAACCTATTTTTAAAAAATTATTTTTTTAAAAAAAAATCATCTGATGACCGATAAGTGGTTGCACACAAGCATAAAATGCCTAACACTATAACCAAAGAAACAGCAAGAGGACATTCTGAAAGGGAAACTGCAAGGTAACTGAACACTTAAGATCTCCCATCTCATAGGACATTCTGTGGTACAGAACCATAGATCAGACCACCACTAATCATGTGTTCTTGGGATTGCAGATATTATTATGATTATGATTATTGAAAGTTAACAATGAATATGCTACCCACATAGCTCTGGACCACAGCATGGTAAGTAGGTTCCTGCGAAGCCACTCAGTGACGGGCACAGCTAAGGCTCTGAAACTAGCTTATACTGTACACATTTGGGAAAACTGAGGCAGGAGTCTCAGGATTCCAGGAGAGTCATACCATTAAGTCAAACCCTCCCTCTCTGTGTCACCCTAAAATCCATAATCCTCTTGAAAGTACAAAATACGTTACTCCTTACTGCTTCGGTAAGGCATTGCCTTCCATCTTCGCTCTCTTCCAAACATTTAACTGCTTTCTAACAGAAAGTTAGAGCTTTCAATAAACCTGAGTTCACCCCAGTTACTCAGCAAAGAAGCATATGGTGTGTCAAAAACCACTGAGTCATTGAATCCTGCCTGCCTAACCTCCTGCTGCTAATCACAACCTCGGGCATGATCCCTTGAATGCTGAGGCCAGCTCCTGAAGCAGCACTCTCCATGGTTGCAAAAGAGTGAGGACTGAGCCCATATGCCCTACCTTCCCGCTCTTGAAGGAGGGAGTAGCATTGCAGGAGGACTTCAGAAAGCGTTTGGATGCCCTGTGCACGCATTCGAGGATCTGCATTCTTAAGAGGAGACCTGTATTTATAGACACAAAATGAAGATTTTACAGGCCGTAGCAGGAAGAGAATCAGTGAAATATGTTGGGGGGGGCAAAGAGAGACAATATTCTGATTTAATTTGACGATTCAGTTAAGTGATCAGTTTCCCTTCCATTTGCTCAGGGCTTCATAAATTATGGGCCAACATAAAAGTGATTAGGAGAAAGGCTGTAGCTCAGTGGAAGAGCACTTGCTGTGCAAGCAGAAGTCCCAGTTTCAATCCCCGGCTTCTCCAGGTAAGGCTGGGAAGAACTCCCTGCCTGAAACCCCAGAAAGCCAATGCCAGTCACTGTCAACAATACTGGGCTAGATGGACCAATGATCTGACTCTGCCCAAGGCAGGTTCCTATGTCCCCACATTATGTGTTTGGCTTCCTCCCTTTTGTCCAGGGCATCATGATTTATTGGCTGGTTTGGGCTAGTTTAGCTTTAGGGAAATGGAGCCTAGGCCCCACCAGGCTCACATGCTCCATCATCTGACCATCGTCTGGGCAACAGGAGTTCAGAAGCTTTGGCTTCTCTTCTTGATTAACTACAAGCTCGCTGCATCACTTAAACCTTGACAAACTGTGGTTAATCTTCACTGTGAGAAGTGGAAACAAGCCAGCTTCAAATCACAGTTAATGAAGTTGGCTTGTTTTCACTAACTATTAAGATTAACTACAGTTTTGGGTTCACATGACATACTAAACCATGATTAATCTAAAACTGAAGTGAAAGTTTTCAATCAAGTGGTGACTATGCTGAATGAGGCGTGGGGGCCAGGTAGTGTGAAGTCTGTGGGGAGGCTAGGCTCAATCTGAATTGATTTGCTTATTTATTTTTAATTTGTACTTATAGCCCACTCTTCACCGAATGGCCCCAAAAGTATCTCAATTAAAGCAATATCTGAATGCAACCTATGACTTGGATTTTGTAGCCAACCACTTTGTCATGGTAGCCTGTGCTGATGTCTAACCCTGCCACAATATGCTCAGCATCAGCTACTGGCACATTACTGCCGATAGAAGACTGCTATACAGTTTAAGGTAGGGATCAAGAAGCTGTGGCCTTCTAGTTGTTCTAAGACCTCAGCGCCTACCAGTCTCAGCCAGGATGGGCCATGGTCAGAGATGATAAAGGCTGCTGTGGTCCAACAACACTGGAGAGCCAAAGGCTCCCTATGCCTGGTTTAAATTCCAAGGAATTCAAGGTTGGTGGGAACCACAATAATGAACCCAAAGCACAAATTAGATTAACGGTTAAAATGCTTCTGCACTATCTGAGATATATACACAAAAAACGTTTGCAGTTGTTTAAAGAACACTGACGTGTCAATATATTCTTCTTTGCTCTGTTCTGGTTCACCACAGAGGTGCTCTTCACTCGACAGACGCTTCCTTGCAATGAGCAATGACTACATCTGGCAGTCTGACCATCAGGATAAGAAAGGGAGTTTTCATTTTTCCCTTTCAGGCTGATTCCCACCAGAGCAATATACTCATATTAGGAATGTGAAGGGAATGTGGAGGGAGAGCATTTGAGAGAATAACTACTTGTCTAGTAAATGTGTGGTCAATGTAAAATTTAACCAATGATTTCCTGGCTTGCAATCCAAATTTAACCTCTATGCTATATTGAGAGGAGAGCTCATCACCACCATTTAACGTAGCCACCAGCCTAGGCCAAACATCTACCCATAAGAGTACCCTGCAGTTTATCTGGTTGACTAAATGGAGGCGTTAGCAACTGCTCTGCCAACAATACGTACACCTAACTGCCATGGAGGCACTCTCCTCCCATATTGCAAGGGAAATACTGGGAAAACCTGAAAGCATGTAGCCCAAAACCTTTAGTTATGCAATGCAGCTGAAATTCATCCCAATGTCAGGATAGCAAAATGCTACACATTATCACCACCAAACCCACAATGCTATTCCAAAGTTTCATGATACCCTAATCATGTAAGTCATTTTCTCTGAATGGAATTTTGCCCAGCATGGACAAAGGGCATCCATCAGGCAGGCATTAAGCACGGAACAACAAAATTCTAATGTTGTTGCAGTAGTGCAAAGAGTCATCCTCGACACTGGCATATATACATCCCAGAGCAGTAAGCTCTTATTTACTTACTTACTTACTTACTTACTTACTTACCCCAAGTTTTCAACAACATCTAAGATGGTGCAGGTCCCAGCTTTTACTCCTAAGAAAAAGGAAGTATCAAAAGGTTAAATCACGATAGATAGATAGATAGATAGATAGACAGTCACACCAAACTAAGCAGTGCTTCTTAAAACAAATTTAGACATGGGAATCCATGTTTCAGGTACAGTGCAACTTGCCTTTCTTGTTTGCACAGCTCAGAGGCAGAGCACATGATCTGCATACAGAAGGTCCCAAATTTCCTTCCAGGCATATCCAGTTAAATGGACCTTTTGCTTGTATGGCGCAATGGCTCAATTGGCATAAGGCAGTTTCTTATACTTCTTATCACAAATTGAAAAGCATTTAATCTACAGGAAAAGGAGTTGGAAGCTGCATTTGCCCTCCACATCTCTGCTTCTCCAGTACAGTGCTCTTCCCCCACCACCAGCAAGCAACACCGCGCTAGTCTGTCTGTCCTAGTCTTTTGAAAATGGAAGGGTTAGCTAAGATTCCTTGCAGTGCTTCTTCCAGTCAGGAAAATGATAGCCAAGAAGCATACTGCCTCTCTAGGCTAGCGGTAGATAACCATGTGGTCTCCAAATGTTCTAGACTAAAATTCCCATCACCCCTAATCATTAGGCATGCTGGATGGGACAGATGGAATCCAGAAATTTTAGGAAGTGTCAGGGTGCCTACCCCTGCTCTAGGCCCTTAGTGAGACAGACAACCTTTCCCAACTATTTGTAAAGCGGTCTAATTGCAAAAGTGAATGGCAAAGGAACATCAGTTCTCAAGCTAGTACTGACAAATCTCTGAGATACTGTGCAGTTCATTTAATTAATATGCCTTGGACCAAGTAAGACTTAATTAAGCAGGTGCTCATACAGCTACTTAAAAGCTTACCTAGTGCTACAGAAATCATAAAGACAGCATACAGAAGCAGAGCAACAACTGCTGGCAGTGAGTGAAGCACAGTTGACTTAGTTAGCTTTTCGTCTGGGGATGGTGCGTTCTCCAGGGAAAGTAGCCTGCCAGATCACTATTCAAACAACCTCTTACACAAGCAAAAATGCATGTGTTTGTATATACCTGTTTGAAAGACTGGGATACACAGGTGACTCAAGGCAAACATTCCTTAACCCTGTCCCCAACCCTAAACGGTGGCATAATACACTTTCTTTTTACACCAGAGGAAAAAGCCCCGGTCAGCTTCTGTCCTAATCAACCTTGTGATTAGCAGTTCATGGGTAGCTGCCCTCCTTTGCTCAATTCACTTGAGCACTCACCTGCATTCCCAGTGACAAAGAGGAAAGGGCACCTGTCATTATGCTGCACTGTGTTGCTGCATGCCTGCTGGCAACTCCAAACATGAGGACTTTGCATCCCTGCAGGAGTCCAGGAGCAGTGAGTTGGCTGCATCGGGAGAGCCCTTATCGCAAAGGGTTGCAATGAGCCTGAAAAGGCAGTGGCTGCTTGGGTCTGTGGGTATGTCTTTGCCACTTGAGTGCTCACTTAAGGACAACAGCTGCTTGACCTCAGATTATGGCTGTGATGATAAACACACTTATTAGGAAGTAAAACCCAAAGAGTCCAATGAGACTTATTTCTGAGTAAGTTTGCTTAAAATTACACTATATAGCCAATACATTTTATATCTAAAGCTTCCCAAAATTTCAAAAGACTTTAGTCATCTGTTCCCCTAGTGACATTATGTATGTATGTATGTATGTATGTATCTATCTATCTATCTATCTATCTATCTATCTATCTATCTATCTATCTATCTCTGGACCATTTGCCTATGTTGCACAGACAGCTTAATTTGTAGAGTTGCACAATACATTTTAAATGATGCAAAATTTCATCCAGATGCAGAAGATTTATTTATTTCATAACATTTATACTTGATAGCAGAAAAATCTCAAAGTGGTTTACAAAAAGAAGTTCTACCACTGAAATTTAAACTGCCACCCACATTTCACAAATTTAAATGTTTAAATTGAATTTTGAAAACTTATTTTAAGTTATTCCAAAGTTCAACTTCAGAAACTGCAAATCAAGAAGCCAGTGGCAACCATCCCATCCCTGCTGAGCAGTTCTCAAATCACCTCATTAGCAGTGGGGAGAGCTGTCCAGCAGCCTCCTTCATTTTCTCTAGATAAAGGCATGAAACAACCTGTCGCTTGAAAATACTATCTCTCTTCCAATTAGAATGGGGAGGTGGGAGGAGACAGCATGGGAGTACAGAATATCTTCAATCAAGTTTGGCACAATTTGTTAAAACAGCTGATAGAGTGCTGAAAGAGCAGTGTGAATGAACCAATTATAAATCCTGCATTCTATTCTTTTTATCAGCATCTCACTCTCAAAAGTACAAGGCGTACTAATTAAAGAGCTGCAAGATTTATTTTCTTAGGAAGCCGTTCTGAAAGCCAGGAGAACCATATTTCCAAGAACACCTCTATACTTGAAGGCTGGTCCAGAACCTAATTTGGAGAGCCTGTGTTGCTTAAAAGGAAGGTTGTTTAAAAGTTACTGCACTCCTGTCCTCTTCTCAGCTGTATCTGGGGCAAGTTCAGATGTGTTAGCTATGTTCAGTATATCATTATTCCCATTAGTAAAGGTGGTGTCCCGTATGCATACACATTGGATGCCAAAATGAGCCCAAAGAGAAGGCAGTGACAGGTTCTTACGTACTGGGGGACCCTGAGATAAGCAAGACAATATTGGGTTTGTCTTTAGAGATCCTCAGCTCTTCCAAAACACAAGCAGGGTTCAAGGGCTGCACATGCACACTGCCCTCATGCTGCTCTGCAACACTGGCAACAGAAAGCAGCACACAGAAACACAATACCCATAGCCTCTGGAGTTGGGAGTTAACTGAAGATCTATCTGTGCAAGCATAATTTCGTGGTTCATGAAGTTGGAATAAATAGTACAAACATCTAAATGCAGATGACATCTACATGTGGATGTCATCTCATTCACACAGTCCCTGATCCAGTGAGAGTTAGAGATATCCATGTGGATCATTGTTTCCATACACAGATCTCCTTAGTTAGGTCAGGATGAGGAAGCATGGTTGATTGACAAGAGAAAAGTTTAAAACTTCACTCTTTGCCCTTCCATCTTCTTCCATTTCCATGAATGTTTTTCAGAAGGCCACAGTGAGTATTTAAATGAAAACAATGTGTTTAGTTTGTTTTTGGTCCCTATGTATATTACATGCCTTACCATAAATTATCAAATTTTGTTGCAGGTCTACACTTGCAATACCTATTATGAACCTCACCAATGCTACTAAAGTTTGCAGCATTGGCAAAAGCTGTAGCTGTGCTTACAGCCTTACAAGTACCACTCACCCCTCAGAAATCTAGGAGTCCTGAGTTCCAAAACTCACAGAGTTGTATGGGTTAACTTGCCTTCATGTGGAAACATGGTAAAGCAGCTCTTCATACAGCTGCAGCTACATCATGATGAATTCCTAAGTGGCTACCACACCACAAATAGTCATCTGAATTATGATAAACCACCTATATTTTCTTATAAAACGTTAAGTAAACAAGCCAGTGTTTCCAGGAAGAAAAGTATGCCTCTTCATGATGATAGAAACTCAAGAACACTTCAAAATCCTTTAACAGTCTTTAAATGATTCGTTCTTCTCTTGTATTTTTAAGGTAGCTTGGGTGATTAAGGGTTAGGTTTCCCTATCTTTTCATAGTTTTACAGTACAGGCAAAGGAAATACATTAATGAATGGTAGAAAAGAACAGGTCAAGGAAACAGGAAATTATATTGAGTATGCCCAGGTCGGGCTCTCTGTTGATCTGATCCCCTGGAAAAGTACATTCCTGCAAACACACATATGGTTTTATTTCTAGTCAGCCTTGCCCACAGCAGCCTCCTCGTACCCAACCTCAACACACGCGTCCAGCTCATTATCGTCTCTGAAATAATCTTCAGGAGGCGAAACAGCTCGTTACTTTGCCCCTAATTAATGCCGTGCGTCACACTGCCTCGCCCGATCAACACCCTGCATGCGCCCACCGTTACCGCATGCCCGACTAGCCCTAATTAATGCCAGTACGCCTGATCCCGATGTGGGTGGATGGAATGAAGTTAGGCAGAGGCACTCTGCACACGCCCAGAGAATCTCGTTTGCATTCCTTTACACACTCCCCCGAATGAATTCCGACAGTGAATTCCGATCCTGAGCACAGATCCAACTGGGCGATCTTTCTCCCTGACACCTAAGCTCACCTCCTCCTCCGTCCCCGCAGACCACCCCTTGAACCGCCGTTTCGGTTCCCCTCTCGCCCCGCCCGCGGCACTGCCGGAGCCCGCCGCCTGCTCCCCGGCCCTGGCCTCTGCCCCCCGCCCTATCCCCACACGCACCTTCCGCCGCCTCTCTGGCCGCGCCTTCCCGCTCCCAGCCCGGCAACAGGGACGCGTCCGCCCCCACGTCCACCTCAGCCCCTCCGGCCGCCATGATAAAGCGGAGAATAGCAGGGCAGGCGAGAAGCGCACAACGCGCGTGCGCGTCCCCTCTGTCACGTGTGAAAACGACAGGGGCAAAGTGGGCATCACGTGGCAAGAGGCCACTCCAGTAACGGGCGCAGTTCGCGGGGAGGGCCGTGGAAAGGCAGGGGCGCAGCCCGAAGGGAGGCGGCGGGCAGGCCCGTCAAAGGTCAGGGCGGGCGCCTTAGGCCGGGTCACGGAAGGGGTGGGTTTTGCTTTGCGTTAAGAGGGCGCACAACACGCGGGAAGCGCAGAAGTGAAGCTCAATGCGGTTTCACACAACCATCCCGCCGATGCGAACAGGCTTCCACGCGCTCGAAGGAGGAGGAGGAGAGCGCTGCGTTGCGTCTGCTGGAGACGTAGAGGCTCTTCATTCTCGGAATGCCATCCCCGGATATACAAAGAATGCCACACGCACTTTTATGATTTTGTTATTAGAAACGGCGGCTTAGCGCCAAGATGCAGAATTGTTTTCCATTTGCTTTAGGAGGCCTAAAAATACAGGCAAGCGGGCAAAACACGTGCATCCAAGGAAGGAAACACTCAGACCTCTGGTTTCTGTGAGGAAATCGTTTTAGCCGTCCACGCTCCAAGTATAAATTATGGCAGCGGTTCTCACATGTATCTGCCCACCTACCCGCGAACTGCAGTGCACTTGGAGGAGGAGGAGGAATGCAGTGATCAGGACAGGGATCATTGTGGTTTGGTGTTAGTGGTGGAATGGATAGATCTCAGCATCCAGCATCCTGCTCCACCTATTTATCTTTCAGAAGTCTGCTGTCTTTGCTGGTTATCATTGCCACCTTCATAAAGAAGTCCCATCTCCAGTGCTAAAGAATGAACAATTACAGTACATTTCCAGTACATTTAATGTACTGGATGGTTAGGGTATTTTTCAGTAGGATAAATATGCACATCTAATCTTTTCCCCTGAGCAAAGGTCAGAGAAAGCTTGCCCTCTGAACTAATGCAAAGCACCAACACGAATGTTGTCTTGGCATTTACTAAAAACTAATTAATTTTCTCAGGCCTTTGCTGGCTATTTATATATGTTGGTTTTATTTTTTTAAGTTATGTCTGCCCTGGCCTATCAACTGCTGCTTTATTTTATATTGTAATGTATTTTTTAAAAAATGTACACCATCTTGTGGTTTCAAATTAAAAACAGCATGTAAAGATTTTAAATAAATAAGGACATTTGTTGCTTTTAAAATACATTATCCTTTTCTACAACAAAACAGTGCTTATTCCAAAGCAAATGTATTCTGCATCAGGGCAACACTATCCCTATAGTTATGATGGTGCTATGATTTAAGTGCTCAAGTTTTCAAAAAGCAAAAGTCTGCATGCTCTTTTTAAATTTCTTTTTAGTATCTGGATTAGCAAAGTTTTCTCTCTCTTGCTTCAACATCATAGCAGTTGCAAGGCACTGATGACAGTTGGGGTGAGAAGAGGCATGTTAATTGTGTACTTCAACTGAGGTATACATACAACTATCTAAACCACACACACAACTCACACATACTTCAGAAAGGTCATTAAGTCTAAAAGGTCTAAAATTACCTAGCTGCACCACTTGCCAACGCAGCGTTACCTTCAAAGGAATAGTTATGAGATAAGAGATATAATGGAAGAAGTAGGATAGGTATGACATATCCAACACTCTTGATGGGACTAACAGCCTGAGAAAGCGACACCTGGATTTGAATGTGTGTGACCCCATTTGGGGTTGGCCAGAATGGTAATTGACACCAGAGATCAGAACAAAATCCTGAACTTGCCAAGTCCTCTCTTCATAGCATCCAGCATTATTATATAACCATGGTCAGCTTTCTCAGTGGACACCTCTGCAGCACTAAGCTGGCTTCCCAGTGATAATCAAGGCCTAAGACTGACAGGTCTGAGAGAGCATTAGTTCCATCATCACTCCTCAAAAGCAGATACATAGAACCTCTCCCCCGCCAGGCTGTAGCTATCTAAATTGTTCAACTAATACTGTACTAAATTATCGTTAATATGTACATCAATATAACACGCTGCTTTACAGAGTAATAAAAGTAAAATACTTGACCAAAGTATTTCCCCAGCCCCATCATAGTAAATAGGGGGCTGAAGGCTGAGGGTTGAAAAGCTTCATGAAAAAGGCAGGTATTTTTAAAAACAAAAACAAAAAAACAAGGGATTGGAAGGAAGGAAGGTGGCTCCTTTTCATGTTTTGAAAGGGAGTCCTTTGCACCCAGGGCAAAGGTGAGGCTCTTCCACTGCCCATAGGGTAGACTGCCATGTCAGTCTTGCTAAATCCAACTCCCGTTCAGTACAACAACATCGCCTGTTACAGATTATTGCTGGGCAAGCCGGCTCCTCTGCAAGGTAACAGGACTTTGGAATGCGAACCCCAGCAGGGCCGTTCGACTGCTCTAGCATTTGTTGGCATATAAAGAGCCAGCCTTTGCAAATTATTATTATGATTATTAATTTCATTTCTGTACCACTTTATATTTTAAAGAAAAATCTCAAAGCGGTTTACAGAATATTAAAACATCAATAAAACAATCTGAAGAAAGTCAGATATAGAGTATACAGTCAAAGCAACATAATTAACAGAAAACTAAAATATTAGCTTAAAAGATTTCAAAATAAAACATTACAAAGCTGGCTGCCCTAAACTGGGCCTGGAGGTCGCGCCTCGTGAGAGTTTTAGGAGGCGACTGAGGAGCAAGTGAGCGGGGGGCGACGGCTAGCAGCCGCCCGCTACGAGCCCAGGCCGGCTCCCGCTGCTCCCGCTGTCGGGGGCGCTGGCCCTGCTCGCTTTCTCCCGCCCCCGCCCCCTGCAGAGTGGTAGCCCGGGTCACGGACGATCCTCTTCCTGGGGCTGGCAGAGAGAGGGCGGAGTGGAGGCCGGGCTCCTGCCACCGAGTCACATGCTCACCTGGAGAAGGAGGAGGAGCTCGAAGTGTCTCCCAGGGCCGGGGGATCCTCCCCGGCTCAGATCCCCAGCTCTTCGCGGAGTAGCGGCTGCAGCGGTGGCGGCGACGGCGGAGGCAGGCATTGGAGCCGCTGGGCCGGCCTGGGCTGGATCCAACCTGAGAGGGCAGCAGACCTTAATCGGCGCCTCCCGTTCCGCAAGACTCCAAAGCCCCGTCTGGAGGGAGGCGGAGGCGGCAGCCGCGCCGCACAAAGTTTGCGTGCTCGTCCGGAGGGCGGATTGGGGATCCGGCTCCATGCGGAGCGGCAGAGCCCGGAGCCGGGCTCAGGCGGGTAGATCCATCACAATCGCAGCCTGGGGTTGTCGCCATGGGCAGCTGCGTGGGGAGGCAACACCGAGAGCGGCCGACCACCCCGGGGCACCCGCGCAAGCGAGCAGGTGAGCGCCGCCGGTCAGGCACCCTCTCGGTGCCGTGGCAGCCCGAACGGGCGAGGGAATCTGGGCCGCTGGAAACACAACCGGGATTGGGCCCTTGCAGACACTCCCCTGGGGGCCCTTTGCTGGAGAATTAACTTGTCTCAGATCCCCCACTCCCAACTCCCACCATAATCGGGCACCGAGACCACTGTCAAGACTGGGAATAGGGTGCCACTCTGTGATTGTCTTGAGTGGGCATCGGATCTTTCAGGATTGGGCCCGGATGAGGGCATAGCGGAGCGGACGGTAGTCTATGTGCTTCCCCTCCTGTTAGAGATGGGAAGATTCGGTTTGGGGCGATTTTTAAATGACCTGAATCTACTGGGTGGTCTGTACTTCCTTGGAGGAGCGTGTGGGATGTGTGTTGGTAAATGTATTGGTGGAGTAAGGCTCCCTGGAGCAATTTGGGTTTCTACTGATCCCTTAACTCCGTATTTAGGAAGAGTGTGTGGGATGTCCCAGAAACTCGCCTACCGGATTTATGTAAGAGCCAGTCCAGCCCGTCTCACCAGATGGGTTGGAAGTGCAAACTACTGTTTCCCCACTGGCTCAGAAGTACAAGTTTGGGCTTGGGGCTGCTCTGAGGTCAGTGGGCTGCCACCTCAGGTTTCAAATCAGAGTAATTTTATTTATTATTGCAGATTTACTAAAAGCACTTTTATGCAGCTTTGTGTGTTGTTGCGGAAGATGCATTGTAAGCCATAGAAAAATAAAAGATCAATATAAAATCCAAATGATACAGTGTGCATAGATGTGTGGCTAGGTCCTAGCAAGAACATTTCCTTTGCCCTTGCTGCTTGATTGGAAACTTGTCCTGCAAACCAACATCAGGTACTCTGATCCATGTGTGGGCCCAGAACAGATACCTTCACAGCATGTGCTAAGGCCACATTTGCTGCTAGAGAGATTGCAGCCTTCTCTGAACCTAGGTGCAGAAATTCATGTCCATTTCCAGGTTCAAGGGCCCTCCCTGCTAAGTCCCCTGCAAAATGATAAGAATTGAGCTAGCTTAGGCTTTGCTGCCTGAGTCTGTGCATGTGACCCTGTGTGGTGTGTGCCCATGTGCGCAAGACCTGCCCTGACTTTTCTTAGTCCAGGTCAGTCAAGAGCACAATTGGTTCCCACCCCAGACGGCTCAGATCAGTCTCACTCTGCTGGAGCTGCATTAGTTGGATCAATAGCAGAAACCGCTTTAACCCAACAAGCTCATCAGCAGTATTTGGCATCGGCAGCGGTGCACACACACATTGATGCAGGGTTTCTGGAGACAGAACAGTCGACTTCTCAGCAAGAGAGAGGCCTTTGTGGACATGAGAGCATCTAAGGTACAGTCTCTGTGTACGGCTGCTTCGGGTTGATTGTGGTTTTTCATAAACTTGCAGATTATTGGTGGTGCTAGAGCCCTGATTAAACCCATGCGCTTGCACTGCCAAAGTGATAGGTGACACCTCCTCACATGCTTCCTATAAATGGGTATTTTGGGAGGTGTTGTTTAGGGGCTCCCAGGCAGCCACTCTGCGGTTGCTACTCTGATTTCACAAAGAATTGTGTCCCGAGGTGTCCCTCCACGAGGCCGTGAGACTGGATTTAACTTTGCTGGGCCCTGCACATACACCGAGACCGGACCCCACCAG